AAAGCTGTTGAGTTTTCGAGAAACTATACGACATTATTTAAAACACATGTACTCATTAATACAATAAGGTGAAGAAATCTCCGCTAATGTAAATATTAACAAACGGATAGAGAAGTCAAATAAATTACAGTTTTGAGACAACAAAAGAATGGATCAAACCGATGGTTAAATCATCTCATAGAGTGCGTTTTGCACTACCGCTTTTGCTTCGGCTTCTGAAAGATTCGCCGTACGGTTGATCAGCAAAATTGCCGCCGACTTCGTTCAATGCGTTCGCCGCTTGAGTCACAAACTTCACCGCGCTCGATTCGGTGGCCGAGCCTTCGCGAGGTGGCTCGTGAGAGCGGTCGCCGCAACTGAGACAGGGCACGAGGCGTCGCCCAGGGGACATCTCTGCGCTGCTCCGCCGCCGAAGGCCGCGTGAGGCCGCCTCGCACGCGGGCCTCACTCGAGGCCCGGCCCCGATCAACCTGTGCCGCGCGGGAGAAGAACCGATCCCCGTAGGTGTACAGAGAATGATTACTCCGGGTGGGGTTTTCAATCGAATTAAGGTTATACTAATTCAATGTAGATTCTTTCTATGGTTGGGAAAACCAGGAAACCAGTGCTTGCATGCCTCCTTAATCCTTGCCGGATCTACGCATGTGGCCATGGAGATAAGTACACACCATCAACTGTCAGCCGGGCAAGCACCCAGCTCACGAGGTGAGGGCGTAAAGGTTGCAATACGGACGGCGTTCAATAAGTTATCAATCTGAGCATGAATGTGAAATTTTATATTTAAAATCGCCCTCATTACGTTTCAATGCAGTCCCGATTGACTTGGAAACACTTGGTCTATTTTTCCTCCAGTGAATGAAAACCCTCATAAAAGAAGGAAATATTTTGACTGCGCAGATACCCCATTACAGATTCCTTAACTGATTCATCGTCACAAAATCGCCGCACACGCATACTTTATTCATGTTTCGAAACCGAAAGTACTCACTGGGAGCCAGGTCTGGATAATATAGATGATGATTAAGTTTTACGAAGCCGCAATGTTCAATTTATCTCATTTTCTCACGATTTTCGAAATCTGTTTTCTCTGTTTACCCGCACGGCACTGCACTTGCCATCTTCTCACATCAAGAGCTCTCGGCAGACTGATTTGTAACTGAAGCCAAACCATAACAAGGCATGTCCCAACTTGCCTGTGCACGATCAGCTCTCCAAAAATATAATATATACCGAGATAGAAAACTTATTGAACGTCTCTTGTATTTGGGTATGAACACGAATTTTATGCGATGTTACTCGTAACGTAAAAAATTTGCACAATGTAACAATGAAATTTTCTACCGAACAAAAATGTGATTGTTATGTAGTTCAGGATCTTGATGACAGAGGTGAAAACCATTTTTCGCTATCCCCTAAACTTTCTTCTGTAAACTCAATTTTACCTACGCTCGACTGCGATACTTATGTTGTCGCGCATTTCACATTTTTTTTTTATTTTAGAGAAATCGTTGCCTAATGCTGGTAGTAGAGAAAGGAGGGGGAGGTAGCCACAGGGGGTAGGTAAAGGAACGTTGCAGTTGCATTAGACAAGGTAGTGAGATCACACAATATCTGTTCTTGAAGTGTGTTAATCCGCTAACGTGAAGAATATTGTTTGTGTGCCTTCGCGTGATTCTTATGCTACTCAGCGATGGCTAGTAGTGTGTTAATTCACCAAATATTTTCTTTTATGTACGTGGCGAGTTTTCGACTAAGTCTCAAAGGTAGTCCATCACTCCGAGCGTCAAAAAGGCGCACGAGTTGTATTTTCAATTAAAGGTAGTTGAGGGTACGTACTGAACCGTTGTACGCATTGCTCCCGCTATTTAAGAGGCTAGTTGCACGAAATCCTACCATGTATGCCGTTTGCGGTGCCAGTTGAGGAGGGAACCTACAGACCACATTACAGAGTGCTATTTTGTTTAACGAAAGTAAGAGGAATATAAAGTAAATCAAAACACAGTTTCTTACCCATATTTAGAATCTGCAATGCATCCAGTCCTGCATTCTGATTCTCTCTCAATTAGGAAACCAACTGAATGGACATTGGAAGATGAAACAGACGATGGTAGTGACTACTCAAAGTGTTTGTCATGAAGATAATGACAATCTTGATTACACGCCATCTGCAGCTCGGCTATAACCGCAGCCATTCTCGCAGGCTGAATTGAATGATATTTTAAGAGATCTAAATCCTTCAGAGGCAAGCAGAATTACTTTGGACTTGACTTTTAAAAAAGTGTAACAAACAAACGTTGATATTACATTTCGTAATCGACAGCCTAATTCCTCCATTTTTTTCTCTATGACAGAATTGTTGGTGAATTGTAATGACATAAATGGGCTGATTATAAAATTTTGGACGATTCACAATCCGGTAGAATGGCTCCTATTAATATATTGCTCAAAGAGTAGTCTAAAAACTGTTCTTTTTCATAACGGAAACAATAAATCTTCGATACCAGTGACCCATTCCGTTCAGTTAAAGAAAGCCTACGAGAACATTAGGTTACTCCTGAAGTATACTGGCTATTAAAATCATAAATGGAAAATCTGTGGTGATCTCAAAGTTCTGGAACTTCTTCTAGGAATGCAGACTAGTAATACAAAGTAATGCTGTTTATTCTGTCACTGGGATAGTAAGGCAAGTTAAGATCATTATGTAGTCAAAAAGTGACTTTTGAGACAAATGTTCAATCCTGGTAAAAAAACATGTGTCACGTGAAACTCTCGTTGACGAAGACAGTGTGCTATTACCGCCACTCCATCTAAAATTAAACTTTATGAAGTGTTTTGTGAACGCAATGAACAAAGATAGTAAACATGAAGAATCTTGACCATCTAATTTTCCTACGAGTAGTACTGCAAAAGTTAAAGAAGAAATTTTCATTAGTCCTCAGATCTGTGATTTGATGAAATATACTACCTTATCAATTTCTTCAGGTTCTTTCAAAAGGTAGTATCTTTCATCAAGTCACAGATCTGAAGCTCAATGAAAATTTCATCTTTAATTTTTGCAGTACAAATCTCACGAAAAATTGATATGATCAACAGTTACTGACAGATACTGAGAAGGATTGAAAGCATAGAAAAATGTATGTTCTGACTCACACAAGGAGAGTTCATGTTTCTATTTCATGAACGTCCTGGCATGCCTAAAAATCAGGGGCAAATTGTATATAAATGACATTGTATATAAATACATTGTATATAAATGATAATAACTCCACTATATGCAATATTCAGCTACATGTTTATTTCCAAAAAGTGTTCGCTTTGCAACCTGTACATGCCCTTGCCTTGGGAACTTAGAGTCTGAGTCATCTGCATACATAAGCATACTGCGTTATACGCTAGGCAACCCGCCGAACTCAAGTGTGTGGCACATACAGACAGGGGCTCAGGTCAGTGATGCAAATAGGCAAACCGTCAATTTTTCTTACCCAATTCACACAATTTGAAACTTTACATTTTGTGTGGCGTTTATTAAAAATAAAACTTTCTTTTCATCTTATAGTTCAGTGTTTCGAAAACAAGAAAAACCATTTCATTTCAGTCACAAATTCATGTATTACTCTTTCCTTTTCTTGGATTCTCACTTGTAGAGAAATTTGAGCACTGATGTAAACAACACAGAGAATGCATAGAATTTATGAACTACTTTCAAATACTCGTGTATGTGACACTAACAGATTTAATTCTAACGCGACGCTAAAGAAACATTCACGGATTGTGCGGAGAGAAATAATATTTTCTTCATGTTTTTCAACTATTGAAGTTTTCTTGTTGTGTTACAAGTTTACTTTATTTCGTTAGTTGTCATGACGAAGTATCATTCGGAGTTTGTGCTCACGTTTTGTGAGGCAATGATTTATCTTTGTTCATTATCATGTTTATACAACAGCGTACTATAATTAAAACAACATACGGCCACCATGGTACGAAAAATATTTTTATAAAATGTTCCAGCAAATCTGCTTTCCGTCGTTCGTTGACAAGAAAATACAAAAAACCCACCCAAAGAAGGTACTTTTAGAGAATAAACGATTTATTGACATAATTGTTTTGACATTGTGAGACTCGTAACTCCTGGCTGTGGGCCAAAAAATCGATTGGCCACAATATTCGGCGGTTTATTTCAATTGAAGGTTAAATGCTTTCGACTTGAAAACTAAACTTTACTAAACCTGAAATTTCTTGACAAAAACTCAATTAAGTAATTACCTTCTTTTAACACAAGTCCCACGTGCGTCAATAAAAATAAATAGCTTTATTATCTGATATTTTCCCTACTAATAATTAACTTTCCGAATGAAACGACGTGTCTAGATTAATCCCCTGAAACCTCTTACACAACTCTCAAAATAAACCCTTCTGTAATCTAAATGTCACTAAATCAATTATTATCAGGTATTGTCTTGCTAACCCATAATTTTTCTACATTTGCATTACTGGTTCTTAGACAAATGCGCTTACCAATTTTTGACTATATATTTCCACTTATTCTACTTAATTCTATCCTGATGTGAGGTATTATGATGAGTTGTCCCCCATCCCATCCCGGAGGCCGTCTCATCACAGAGGAATTGAAAAAGATCCCTTTTTGGCAATGAACATAAATCCACAAAATTCTAAAACGTATTTCCATGCATTTACACGAGAGACATTTCCTCTGATTTTTAGGCAACCACCTATGCACAGATAATCGGTTGGTGAAGTTTGGACGCTGTCGAGGGGATTACATGTTCTTGTGAGACATCTGCGAATTGGGGTGTGCCTAACTATCAGGGGCAAATATGCAAACTCCATTATAAGCAATTTATCACTAAATGTTCATGGGTAAAAAGTGACAAAATTGCAAAGACGGTTATTTTAGACTCTTCTTCGTTCCTCAGAATTTTGTAACATTTATTGCGAGACATCTGTATAACATTGTGAATAACATACACATTTTAACTCACCTTTGAGTTCCTCCTGGGCCTCCCGGGAATTTCGGCCGGTACGAGTAGTTATCGCAGCCACAAGACTCTATGGGTCAGTTATGAAGGTCTGAAAAGAACGAGAGGAAATACATTATTCCAATGGTATTCAAACAAACAATTTTTTTAAATGAGTTACACAAATTGATTCACATAGAGATATTATAGAATAAGATCATTTTGTCTTGTCATTTTCCAAAAAATTACACAATGGCGTATCCATAAGAAACGAGTTATTACTTCGCAACGATTGTGAGATAGTTTGATTGGAATAGCGATTATAAAATGAAGTATCATCAGCCTGTAACGCTTATGGAAATTTGGGAGTTAGTTTTCATCAAATCTGCACAGCATCATTATATTCTTCATGTGTTTGGTTTTCCATATTCATGCCATTACTCAATATAACCACATCATCCCATTATACATCAAATCAATATATATATATATATATATATATATATATATAATATATTATATATATATATATATTATTATACTTGTTCACACATATAGAATTCCATAAATTTCTTGGTCCACTAACTGGCAAAATAAGATTGCAATAAATAGATGTTAGAGAGAAACACTGAAATCTATTAAATTATAAAATCAGTATTTTGTCGTTTAAAGAAAATATATCTCCCTACTTACTTTTATATATCACAAAACCCTTATACAATGATGCAGTTTCAATAGGATTCGTAAAGTAATTTTCATTTGTACAGATTAGCGTTTGAAGGTATCAAAAACATTTTGTTTCCTCATATTTGTTTTTTTTTCACGTGTGAAAATGACTCAAATTGAATTATTGAAGTACAAGCTATAACTAAGTTTTCAAAAGCAAACAATATACATCAATAAGAAAGCAGACGGGACAAAAGTTAAAAGTATTCATAGGAAAACACATAATATGGTAAAACATTAAAAGGGATGGCCAGTTGCCGCGCAAAGAATTTTTTTGACGTTTATTTAATTTTTCAGTTTCCTAATTGTAGAGCGGATAAATTATTTTAAGATTATAAAAGAACAAAAAACATTGTTCTAAATGGCAAATTCTTCTTTCTTTTTCTTTGAAAACTTTCGAGCGGTTTTTAAGAAAATGGGGGTCAAGCGCTACTGCAAATTCTAAATATGAAACTCATTCTCACAAAAACATTTGGAGTTATCGAAAAAATTCGTTTAAAGTAATTTTAAGTACTTCATCTCACACATACAACAGTGTTTGCAAATTGCTAGAAATGTGCATATCATCGGCGTGAGATCTTACAAAAATTTTTAAATTTGTGTAATTTGTGGAAAAAAACACCGAAATTAACTTGACGACATATTAAAGAGTAATTACCACTATTCGTTCGAAATGATTGAAGAATGAAATAAGAGTCATTTTCGAGATATTTGAGAGTTTCTGAAAACGCGGAATTTTGAGTTAGTTTTCACAGAAAACTTGAGATTTTGAGAAACATTATGACATTTTTAAAGCACACGTACTCATAAATACAATAATGTGTACAAATTGCTGCAAGTATAAATATTAACAATATGTGAGACAACTCAAAATATTAATTTTTTTGTAAATTTTTGAACAAACAAAAGAATAGAGCAATACGGCGTGTATGTCATTTTAAGAGTACATTTAGCGCTACTTCACCAGGAGTTTAAAAAAATTTGATTCAATTTTTCAGAAAATCTTGTTTATGTATTTTTTTAAATGCACATATTGCACACAATATTGCGCGAAGACTACTAAAATTTTCAAAAAAATGTACACGACCTTATTGAAAGAACTCTCTATGGAGAAAAAATTTAATTTCAAGAAAAAATGCCTATCTTTAATTTTGAAGTTGTAGAATGATACCGAAAAAACTTTTACTTTTGAAAATTTTCGAAAATTCACAGTTAACCGCAAAAATAAGACCAAGGTCACGTTTATAAGTGTATGTTACTCTATTCTTAGAAGAAATTTAAAGACAAAATTTGGAGCTGTTGAGAAAACTCTGTATACACGTACGCATACGTGAAAGTAAAAATACGCATTGGATTAAATTATTGTTTGATTGTGCACAGTCTAGATCAGAAAAAAATTACAAGGCCATGTGTTCATTCTGAACAAGAATTCTCTATAAATGTATGTCACGTTATGAAAGAAAGGAATTCGTAGTGATTTATCTCTACACACAAAATATGTTGCCAGAAAATAATGAACATCGTGTTAGCGCCAGAGACATCAGAAAAGTAAATTAACCATTTCATCTCCATTAGAACAAATTGTTTTCAATGGCTGCCTGGCCCGATCGCACAACTGTCGAGTCTGCCGGGCCAACTGGACGTCTGCCAGCTCACAAAAAGCTACGCCACTTGCAGATCCATTTGGTGTCCATACGCCACTTCTCCCTTAATCCAGCTCCGGCAGCGTGTCCACTTCAAGCAGGCTCGCGGGGAGTGTTTTGTAAGAGATGTATATTGAAAAGGCGCGTGGAAGGGATTTTCGGCGGGATATGGCGAACGACGACTGCAGACCGGTTCGCGACTGGCCTTTGAGCCGCCGCGCGAAGCGGCTCCGTCCTGCGCCCACCCCCTGCGCCGCCGCGGGGCCCGTTGCTTTCCCCTGCCTCCCCGTTCACAGCGCGACGCTTTCCCTACTAATAATTAACTTTCCGATGAAACGACGTGTCTAGACTAATCCCCTGAAACCTCTTACACAACTCTCAAAATAAACCCTTCTGTAATCTAAATGTTGCCTAAATCAATTATTATCAGGTATTGTCTTGCTAACCCATAATTTTTCTACATTTGCATTACTGGTTTCTTAGACAATGCGCTTATCAATTTTTGACTATATATTTCCACTTATTCTACTTAATTCTATCCTGATCGTGAGGTATTATGATGAGTTGTCCCCCAATCCCATCCCGGAGGCCGTCTCATCACAGAGGAATTGAAAAAATCCCTTTTTGGCAATGACATAAATCCACAAAATCTAAAACGTATTTCCATGCATTTACACGAGAGACATTCCTCTGATTTTTAGGCAACCACCTATGCACAGATAATCGGTTTGGTGAAGTTTGGACGCTGTCGAGGGATTACATGTTTCTTGTGAACATCTGCGCATTGGTGTGTGCCTAACTATCAGGGGCAAATATGCAAACTCCATTATAAGCAATTTATCACTAAATGTTCATGGGTAAAAAGTGACAAATTGCAAAGACGGTTATTTTAGACTCTTCTTCGTTCCTCAGAATTTTGACATTTATTGCGAGACATCTGTATAACATTGTGAATAACATACACATTTTAACTCACCTTTGAGTTCCTCCTGGGCCTCCGGAATTTCGCGCCGGTACGAGTGTTATCGCAGCCACAAGACTCTATGGGGCAGTTTCATGAAGTGTCTGGAAAGAAACGAGAGGAAATACATTATTTCCAATGGTATTCAAACCAAACAATTTTTTTAAATGAGTTACACCAAATTGATTCACCATAGAGATATTATAGAATAAGATCATTTTGTCTTGTTCATTTTCCAAAAACATTACACAATGGCGTATCCATAAGAAACGAGTTTATTACTTCGCACGATTGTGAGATAGTTTGATTGGAATAGCGATTATAAAATGAAGTATCATCAGCTCTGTAACGCTTATGGAAATTTGGGATTAGTTTTCATCAAATCTGCACAGCATCATTATATTCTTCATGTGTTTGGTTTTCCATATTCATGCCATTACTCAATATAACCACATCATCCCATTATACATCAAATCAATATATATATTATATATATATATATATATATATAATATATATATATATATATATATATATATTATACTTGTTCACACATATAGAATTCCATAAATTTCTTGGTCACTTAACTGGCAAAATTAAGATTGCAATAAATAGATGTTAAGAGAACACTGAAATCTATTTAAATTATAAAATCAGTATTTTGTGGTTAAAAAAATATATCTCCCCTTTACTTTTTATGTATCACAAAACCTTGATATCAATGATGCAGTTTCAATAGGATTCGGAAAGTAATTTTCATTTGTACAGATTAGCGTTTGAAGGTAGCAAAACATTTTGTTTCGGTCATATTTGTTTGTTTTTTCACGTGTGAAAATGACTCAAATTGAATTATTGAAGTACAAGTCCTATAACTAAGTTTTCAAAAGCAAACAGAGATACATCATAAGAAAGCAGACGGGACAAAAGTTAAAAGTATTTATTCATAGGAAAACACATAATCTGGTAAAACATTAAAAGGGATGGCCAGTTGCCGCGCAAAGCATTTTTTTGACGTTTACTTAATTTTTCAGTTTCCTAATTGTAGAGCGGATAAATATTTTTAAGATTATAAAAGAACAAAAAACATTGTTCTAAATGGCAAATTCTTCTTTCTTTTTCTTTGAAAACTTTCGAGCGGTTTTTAAGAAAATGGGGGTCAAGCGCTACTGCAAATTCTAAATATAAAACTCATTCTCAACAAAAACATTTGGATTATCGAAAAACTTCGTTTAAAGTAATTTAAGTACTTCATCAGACACATACAACAGTGTTTGCAAATTGTAGAAATGTGCATATCATCGGCGTGAGATCTTACAAAAATTTTTAAATTTGTGTAATTTGTGGAAAAAACACCGAAATTAACTTGACGACATATTAAAGAGTAATTACCACTATTCGTTCGAAATGATTGAGAATGAAATAAGAGTCATTTTCGAGATATTTGAGAGTTTTCTGAAACGCGGAATTTTGAGTTAGTTTTCACAGAAAACTTGAGATTTTGAGAAACATTATGACATTTTTAAAGCACACGTACTCATAAATACAATAATGTGTACAAATTGCTGCAAGTATAAATATTAACAATATGTGAGACAACTCAAAATATTAAATTTTTTGTAAATTTTTGAACAAACAAAAGAATAGAGCAATACGGCGTGTATGTCATCTTAAAGAGTACATTTAGCGCTACTTCACCAGGAGTTTAAAAAATTTGATCCAATTTTCACAAAATCTTGTTTATGTATTTTTTTTAAAAAATGCACATATT